TAAAATGAATTTATACAATTTTATGCTTTGTTGCGTATAACACACGTTTTATGGCCAGAGATGCAAACCAGTTAAAATACTGCGAACCAGATTACAACACTGATGAAAATGCAAACTACTAAACTTCAATATAGGGTTTTTTACTATGAAATCAGCACCAAAGACCTTTGTTTCAACCAACTATTGCAACCACTATTGAAATAACGTTCACTATTGAAATAATTATTTCAATAGTGGTTGAAAGTGCATTTCAAAACCAAACACAGGTTGCAACCACTAATGCAATAAAGTTCACCTTTGAAACAATGATTTCAATAGAGGTTTTAAATGCATCTCAAAACCTAAACCAAGTTGCAACTATTATTGAAATGATGTTCACTATTGAAATAATGATTTAAATGGTGATTGAAATAATGATTTAAATGGTGATTGAAATAATTATTTCAAGAGTTGCTGACCACATTGCAAGCCTCATTAGAATAACCTCACTATTGGAAAAAAATGTAAGGATAAATTCTTCATTATTTTTTCCAATATAATAAATTAATTTATTGAGTTTAAAATATGATATGCAATTTTATGTTTTAATTTCTGTCTAGAAATACTATTAATACATGAATATCAGTGATTTAACTGATTTAGTAATTTTAAGTAATTTTGTTAGATAAGTTTCATCTTTGTAATTAATTGGGGAAAGTAAAAGATTATAAATACAGATAGTTGTAAAAATTAGAATATCTTCATTAAAAAGAAGAAAGAAGAAGACATCTATGTGATATCTAATATGTGTACAAACCTTCTGATGAAAATATGGTTGTTTTTAATCAAAACGATATAGAAAAGAAGTAAATTCTCGCTTATATTCATGGGCTTGCCTTCACTACTAATATGGATAGTAAATCCAACGTTTCTACTCGTCAATACAATAAAATCAACTATTTAGGAAAATTAAGTATAAGTGTTATAACATAAGAGGTTATAATTTCAATAGTGGCCACACGTGTAAAACCGTTATTGAAATAATAACTACTGAAATAATTATTTCAGAAGTGATCGTTATTTCAAAAGTGGATACATTGTTTGTTGCAACCACTATTGAAATAACAACTATTGAAATATTTATTTCAATATTGGTTGAGAGTGCATTTCAAAACCAAACACAGCTTGTAACCACTATTGAAATAACGTTCACTATTGAAGTAATTATTTTAATAGGGGTTGGAAGTGCATTTCAAAACCAAACACAGGTTGCAACCACTAATGAAATAACATCCACTATTGAAACAATGATTTCATTAGAGGTTTTGAATGCATTTCAAATCCTAAACCAAGTTGCAACCACTATTTAAATAATGTTCACTATTGAAATAAAACTGTCAAAAGTGATTTGAATAATGATTTCAATACCAACACCACATTGCAAGCCTTATTGAAATAGCCCCACTATTGAAATATATATATATATATATATATATATATATATATATATATATATATATATATATATATATATATATATATATATATATATATATGGATGAATTGTTCATTACGCTTTCCAACATAATAAATTAATTTACTGAGTTAAAAATATTATGTGTAAATGTATGTTTTTCTTTCTTTTCTAGAAATTACCGTTAATACACCGGCATCTTTGATTTTACTAACGTACTTAAATTCAAACAAAGTATGCAAATGTTATATGCAAGCTTCCGCTAAATCTGGCCTACTCGGTAAAAATCAAAAGGCATTTAATCAATATATGCAAGTTTGAAGTAATTTTGTTATATAATCTTTGCAATTAATTTGGAAAGGAAAGGAGGATGACTAATAAACCTGGTGGGCTGTTGACCAAGCTTACTTTGTATTTTTGTATTATGGAGATTAGGTATTTGTTACTTTTAAAAAGTTTTTTTTTAGTTCATTATGTTATCATATTACATTTGTTTTAATTTTATGTGTATGTTTTTTACTTGTACTTTATCTTTAAATTTTTTTTACCTCAATATGAGTAAAAAAAATTCGAAGTATAATCTGGTGTGTTGTCTCTATTGCTACATGTACGTCAACATAAACAGGGTACGTAAATTATCACATACAGGATAAATTTCTGTTTGTCATGAAGAAAGAGGAAGGAATAAATGAAAGTTATTTTAATAACTGTTTAATGTAGACGAGTGAGTCATTTTCGTTTTATTCTATTTGTGTTAATTCCTGTATGTACCGTTGTAGTGTGTAACTTGTGGGGAGCCCCAGTGCTTTAGATATTTCTCTGATTTCTGATTGGTGAATTCTATCTAGGTATCTTATTACATTGTTAGCGTCCCTGATGTAAACACTTTAAAAAGCTGTGTATGATTTTTTTTTTATATTCTCACCCTTAGTCCCCTCCATCCCCATTAAATTTTGATTCTTTTTTCGGTTTAGGGGGTTGTTGACCCCTTTCAAGTGGAAGCTAACTTTGTATTTTTGTTATTAGGATATTATGTATTTGTTACCTTTAATGATATCCGCTCCTCAGCCAGGAAGGACAACTCTTAAAATTATTATTTAATTTAAAAAGTCGTAAAATAAAGCTTGAAATTAAAATCTTTTGTGCGACAACTTTCATTTCATGCATCTGAGTATGATTCAAGATTCTTTGAAGTCCTAGTAACGGTCTTGTAAAATCTCCACATTTGTACCCCATGAAGTATCAAAATATTTGCAATTTTATAGAAATCGAATTTCCTTTAATCTAGCCTTAGATACCAGTTTTTATTAGGCATAAGCATGATCTGAAATTATAAGTGCTAATAATGATATCACAAAAGTTTTACACTTTTCACTTTCTAACAATTGAACAAAATAGAATAGTATCGAATAAGTATTAAAAATGCAATGTCTCCAAATGCTTTGATACCTATAATTTTTTTTATCGTAAAATATATCTATTGAACAAATTTTAATTAGAAAATGCATGGTGGGCACATTGATTTGCGTTTCCTGAAAATATATTTGAGATTTAAGGTAGTCCGATCCTCAGTTTCTGAAAATCAGGTATTGAATAATTGAAAATGCTCACAAAAATGTCTCTGAATTCTCAAAGTAATGTGAATTTACCCACAGCAATTGTTCAAACTTCATCATTAAAATTTATCATATTATACAGGAAAAATTAGTAAATTTCAAATAAATTTCAGGAAATGCTAATAGAGACACCTACTATACATTTTCTAATTGGAAGTCGCCCGCGTAGCGCAGTGGTTAGAGCGTCTGCTCTAGGGTCGCGAACTTAGGAGTTGATCCTTACGTCACGGGCTCGAATCCCACTGTGGGACGTGGAGACCGGTCCTTCGGATGAGACTGTATAAACCGAGGTCCCGTGTCGCAGTAGGTGCTGGCACGAAAAAGACCCCTCACTGCTCAATGGCCGTAAGTGCCGAGTATAGGACAGAATTTGCAGATCTCCACCCGCAAGTGGTGGCGTCTCCATATGAGTGAAAAATTCTCGAGAGGGACGTTAAACAACATACAATCAATCAATCAATCTAATTGGAAATTGATCAACAAAAACATTTTAGGATTAAAAACTATAGGTATCCAGGCATTTGAAGAAAATTGCATGATTTGTATATTTATACAGTACTTTAGTTTCTTCTGTGAACTTGAATTATTTATAATGCATAGTTTATAAAGTGTTTCATATCATTGCAAAACACCATAAATCATTTCTAATTTCCTATCATGCTAATTAGCATTGATATCTAAGGCTAAATTAAAGGAAAAGTCACTTTCTTTAAATCTGTATTCTTAACAAACGTTTATAGGGTAAAAATATCAACGTTTTTAAAAGACTGTTTCTAAAAATTCAAAGAACCTTGAATCACAATGCATAAAATGAAAATTGTTGCATGAAAAGATTTCATATTTAAGTTTCATTTTGAGACTTTTTGAATTAAATAATAAATTAAAGAGTTTTCCTTCCTGGCTGAGGATCGGATATCCTTGATTAACTTTACTGATGAACTTTGAAGAAATACAATGGGTGAATACACATTATTTTGAGAATTCAGAAATATTTTTGTGAGCATTTTCAACTACCCATCTCCTAATATACAGGACTTGAGGATCGGACTACCTTAAAAGTGTTTGCATTTTTTAAGTAGTTTATCATGTAGTCATATATTACAATTTTTTGTATTTTATATGAGTTTATCTCATTTTTTCCCCCTCAATTTGAGCTGTTGACCCCTTACAAGGCCAATCTAACTTTGTATTTTTGTATTGTGGTGATTATGTACTTGTTACCTTTAAAGTTTTTTGCATGTTTTTTTTTGTGTTTTCAGTAATGGTTCATTATGTAATCATATATTTCAATTTTTTGTATTTTACTTGTCTTTTATCTTTGGAAATTTTTACCTTAATTTGAATAAATCTATTTTGCAAAATGATCCTGTGTTCTGTCTTCATTGCTACATGTACTTCATAAACAGGGTAAATGATCATAAAGAGGGTAATTTTCTGTTTGTCCTAATGAAAGAGGAAGGCATAAAAATTATACTACTTACTCCTGAATCCTTGATTCATGGACCATAAAATTTACAGTTTAAGAGGCAATTTTTGTTTATCATTTTTGTGCTTTTATTCTATTTTTCTTTTAAATATCCAGGAGCAAAGAAAATTTTCAAAAATCTAATGCATTTTACTAAAGTAACTATATTTATAGAGCCAAACCCTGGATCCAAACCCCTGACAAAGGGACCCAGATATTTCACAATTTATTCAATAGATAGATGAAAGCACTTACTAGTAAGTTTATTGCCGAAACAAGTGCTGGGTCTTGATCTATACATTTTTTTTGATAAATATCTGTTGCTTAAAGCAACATTGACTGTATATGTAAATGTAATTGAGAATTTTTAAAAACTTTTCATTTTCTCATGCTGAAAAAGACTTAACATAAAAAAAGTGATGAATGATGCTACTAAAATCATGTTGTTGTTTTTTTTTTTACATACTCTGAGGAATAGTTTCCCTGCACTGTAATAGAACTGGGTCAAATACAGATAGTCGAGGGCACTTGTTTACAGCCAATGTTCGGTTATGCAGACATGTTAGATATCTATCACCCCACAGTTCAGTTGGTACAGGCTGAATACCATCAGAAAGACCTTTGCAGCTTGGTAATCTCACAGGACACTTTACGCAGTTAGATTTGTTCTGAGGACAATGGTTCTGATCATATTCACCTGAAACAATAAATAAAACTGTGCTTACTACAAGATATATTTAAATTCATAATAAATAAACATTCATACTTTTAAACCATAATAAATTACATGGAGTTTGAGGTTCTGCTCTGTGGTCACAAATGGTGGACAAAAATCGTTCACATTTAGATGTAGCAAAAGAGAACAGATCGGGATAGGTGCACTCATCATGGGAGACATCAGAACAGTTGTAAAACTTGGCACAATTGTCAGTGTCGGGAAGGATTTTATCTTTGTGTATAGAGCAGTACATAGGAACATCCACTGTCAACAAAAATAAAAAAAAAAGAAAACATGATAAATTCTTCTTGCAAAAATAACTCAAATATAAAGTATGAAACAAGATGTTCATGGGCCACATTGATCATCTTGGGCAACTTGTGTATAGTTCTTTCATTTTCATTTGATTCTGCCCCTCTTTATTCCGGTAAAAATGTCCCCAAATTGAGGCCCAACTGTAGCCCCGGGAGTTTTGATTTAATGAAACTTGAATCAACATAATATGGGGATGAAACAATGATCAAGGAAATAAAAACCGTTACAGAATTATATGTATGTGTCTAAGTATAGCCTGTTTGTGAGCTAAGTGTAAATTACTGTCGTCGGGATGAGTTTTGAAACAATAAATTTTGATTCGACACTATGTAATGAAGCTTTCACATTAGTTTCATTTTTTCTTCCTCAGTGGTTCTTGAGAAGATTTTAGAAAATGTATATGCATATATATATATATATATATATATATACACCGGTATATATATATATATATATATATATATATATATATATATATATATATATATATATATATAAATCCAAATTTAAATGAAAAATTCTATTTTTAATCTATAGCGCTTTCGCCCCATGCGGGCTCATCAGTAGATTTTATATATATATATATATATATATATATATATATATATATATATATATATATATATATATATATATATATATATATATATATATATATATATATATATAAGAGATGGCAATTTTTTACCGGTTAACCAATAACTCGGTCGGAACGATGGCAATCGGTTAGAAAAATCTGTAATCGGTTAGTCGGAAAAAAATAAAATGTATATAAATTTGAGTCTAATTTTGTTAAAATTCTATTTCTGAAAAAAGAAATCTTTGCATAAACGTTGATATTTTAGCGTTTTCAAATATCCAAGCTGACTTGGATGTGATTATGGTTCCCGGATTGAGATTGTAGGGTAATTGGTCATTTTGTGTTTGAAGTGTTAATTATTGTTAAAATACCATGTCGTTACTTTGACTGTCCTGTATTTCTTTAATGATAATTAAATCACCGTTGATTACTGCGAATTAGTATGTTTGTTTTTTACAGTTATCTATCGAATTAATTTCTACACAAACTTTATAAATTCAGTGATGTATTTCAGACTTAGTTTTAATTATGGTGACAATGCTGAATGAACGTATATGAAATCTGCTTTGGAAAAATATCAATGATTTCTTAGTCATGATTCGTGGTTTTCTTAATTTTTCCAGTCTACATTGAAACTAAAATAAGATATAGAAGCATTGTATTTTTTTTTAAATCAAGACAAATAAAATGATTTAACATCTACAGTCTAGACAGTCTTCATGTACATATGAATAGAGCTACTTAGGACTTGGATTATTATATTTTTGGTTTTACATTTTTCCTCGATATCAATGCAGAATGTAATTACGCACTTTTTAGGATTATTACATTTTGCGTTACAACAATTTGCGTCAAGATAAACACAGACTGTAATAATGTACTTTTTTCAATATTACATTTTGCGTTAATTTATTATTGCGTTAAGTACAATGCAAAATGTAATAAAATAAAAATTGTAACAACACAAAACATAATAGATTTTTGGTACTGTGTTGAACGGAAAACATCAGAAAATTGATCTTAACATATCTTTAATATTATAAAATATAAATAAATATTGTGCCAAAGAAAATGAGTCGGTTAGGAGTATGAAATGATTTTCAGGTCCTTTTATATAATTTTCCTCTGTTTATGCATAAATAAAGCTTTGTCTTACAGAATTTTGACTTTTTGTTTCCTAGTAAATGTTTGCATTGTACGCTGCTATCATAAAAATTGTATATCCACTGAGTACTAGTGGTACTGAACGCAAATTTAATTTAAAATCGGTGGAATTTAATCAATGATATAATTGTCGAATCAAATTCTTATTACTCAAATATCCGTAAATAAAAGATATTGGCATGTCCTTTTGCATTTCAAAAAATTTTGATAAAAATTGTCATGTTTGAAACTCTGAAAGCCAGGAAAGCAGCACATTATATTTGATTCCTTGAAATGGAACTTGCATTATTTCCTAGATCAGGAAACGGCTGATAATAAAGCAAAATACAATCATTGGTGTGAAAATTATTCTCTGACAGAAAAGTGTGTTTTAAATTTTGCATTGTTGTGTTTTGCTTAATAGCGACGCAAAATATAATGACTAATGATCAAAAATAGTAACTTATCACATTTTGTGTTATTAGAATTAGCGCTGACATCAACGCAAAATGTAATATTACAAAAAAGTTTCTTGTTAAAGTTGCGTTATTACATTCTGTGTTTATTTCGACGTAATTACGCAAAATATAATGTAATATTCCCGGTTTATTACATTTTGCGTTATTATTATATTTCACGTTGTAACAAACCCTAGACCAAGAATACGTGGTGTCGGGTTACCCAGTCGCATTTAGTCATTTAAACATAGCACCCCGGTAAAATTTTTGATATCTTAATTGACTTCTAAAAAATATACAAAAAGTTAATACTCAGGAAAAGTTATAGGAAAATTGTGACTGTCTAATCATTTTACTCAGAGTACAAGGGAAATTATATATCCCTTATAAAGAACCCTTATTAATACATTTTCAGATAAATACGCTACATTTTGGTTGCAGCTGGTTAAGGGATAGAAAACGGATTTGATTTTGTTCGGAAATAAGTATTTTTCTGTGAATTTTATTTTAACAAGTTATTTTATTTTTACCAAGTTAAGAGACTGTGTATATTTTGCAGATGCAGATGACACATGAGATATCCATAATCTGGTTATATACTGTACACAGATAAACAGAACGTATATATAACCTTGCTGAAGGATACAGAAAATAAGCTGCCGCGCTTTGGTGCAATAAGACAATCAGAATTTACCTTGACACATTTGATACCAAAACCCTTCCTTGAATACTAGCTGAGCGGTATAAATCTTCATCAGCTTCTTCCACAGTTACTTGGTCAAACAACCAGAATCCAGTGCAGGAACCAGTTTATAGGCAGCTACCTACTCTTGGTATGAGTACTAATGATTCAAATGCACTGCCCAAAGAATATTCTTCCGGAAAACAGGAATGAAACCAGCCATGTATGATGGATCTGGGTCTTGGATAGATTAGAAGGCCCATTTTGAAGCATGAAGTGATATTAAATCGTGGTACTCACAACAAAAAAGTTTATACCTTGCAGTCTCTTTAAGATTACAGGCTTATTATGCGACCAAGGTGCAAATAAAACTTATATGGAGCTGTGTGACGCATTAGAGTCAAGATTCGCAAATCAAGCTAAACTCTATCGGGCTATAAGAAAAACGTTAAAACCAAATGAATCTTTGCCAGAATTTGAAAAAAAAAAACATTCGACGTTTGGCACAACTCGCTTATCTAACACTTTCCAGAGAAGTTACCGAGATGATAGCCGGAGATCAGTTTGTAGATGCATTGGCCGATTTTGACATGCGACTTTGCATTTAGCAATCAAGACCAAATTAATAAATGATGCCATACGTTTTGCCGTGGAAATTGAAGCCAACTGTAGAGCGGAACGCCAGAGAAGAGGAGATGGTGGATATGTCAGGAACACGAGCAATGACCAAGTGACACCTGATGCTCAACAACACTCGAATGTCAGGGAAGAACTAAGGCAATTGAGGAATGAAATACAGGGATGAAATACAGGCTTCTCCTAAAGATTTAGAAAAGAAAATTAATTTGCTAATGTCTCGCCATCCGCCACTTCAAGTAAAGTAAGCAAGCAAGGCAAATTTCCTTTCAAATGCCACCATTGCGGAAAAAAGACCACATGACCAAAGACTTTTTTGTGAAAAACAACCAGGATAAAAAATAAAATGCAAAACCAGATTTGAAGAATTCAACCAGTTTAAAGGAAAATAGAAAGTTTACCGAGGCATCCGAGAATCTCGGTAGTTTATTAAGGCGATGGTAAATGGCATTCAGTGTTACTTATTATTTTTACAAACAGGGGCCAGTCTGACTATTCCATCAGACCATCTGCATCCTAAAATACACAAAACTGGAACAATTGGACTTTCACCAGTTACACAGAGAATTGTGGGTGCTGATGGCGCACCTCTTACTGTAAAAGGGAAATGATTCTTCTACATTAAGGACATACGCAACGTAGTTTGAACTTTATTGTCTTTTTCCGTAGAGTTGAAGAGTTCCAATACTTAAAGGATCTGTGTGCTACATTTTAATATCTATATATGCTATTGTACACTTCTTCTAAAACAAGTTTGGATTAAAAAAAACCATCTAGAATATATGTTCAGTAATTTTTGTATATTTTTCTTTGAATTTTACAAGAATTTTCATCAATTGATATCTTTTCAAAACCCCTGGTAATGCATGCTGATTTTTTGTCTACGAACATCTGATGGCACTATAATCTTATATTAAGAATATTTTGAAAAATTATCAGTGGGTAAGGTACGTTGCGTATGTCCTTAAACTTGGTTCCAAAAACTTTAAACTCAGGCAAACAAATCAATCTCCCGTCGACGTATGTAAGACCAAGATGTATGTTCATGGGGTAGAACATGAATTAGAACTACAAGGAAATATCGGTTGCTTTCGTGTGAGTCTGTGTGAAACCACATCCCTTCCTCCCAGAAGCGAAATGGTGTATCCGGGTCAAGTGTTGGATCTACCAAAATTATCACAGATATAATTGGGATTGAACCCTTATGCTAAGTTTCAGTATAGTGGTAGTGCCTTGATAGCCAGATCTCTTGTCAACGCGTACCTTTTTTCCGCGTATCAATTATTCCCTAGATCGACTGAAAGGAGCTTCTTGGATTTGAACTTTTAGATCTTCACTCAGGCTACTAGCAAGTCGAAATGAATGAGGCTCATAAACTAAAGACCGCATTTGTGACCAAGAAATGGTCTTTTCCAGTTTACTGTGATGCTGTTTGGACTCTGTAACAGCCACGTTTGAAAGGCCCATGGAAATAGTTTTGGATGGACTAAATTTCAATATATGTTTCGTATATATTGATGATGTTATCTTTGGTAAAATGCTTCGAAACTTAGACCAAGTGTTAACAAAGTTGCAATAGGCAGGTCTAAAACTCAAAGCTGCAAAATGCACCTTGTTTAAAAAGGAATTTTTGTTTCTTGGGTATAAGGTGTCTGGTGACGGAGTTCAAACAGATGCACAGAAAGTAGCTGTTGTGGAAAAGTGGCCGGTGCTGATTGATGTTAGTGAGGTACGATCCTTTATAGGCCTGTGCAGCTATTACCGAAGATTTATAGACGGATTTTCTGGCATTGCAAATCCTTTATTTTTACTGACAGAAAGTAAACTGACAGAGTTCAAGTGGACGTCGAATTGTCAAAATGCCTTCGATAATGTGAAAGGGTGTTTGAAACTGCTTCAATATTGGCACATCCAAACGTCTCATTGCCCTTTATATTTGATACGGATGCATTTCAAGTGGGAGTGAACAAAAATAAGAAAGGAATTGTTAGCTCTTGTCTTTACACTTCCGACATTATCTCTTTGGTCATAAAGTCATAGTGCACACCGATCATAGTGCCCTAAAATGATTGAGTTTTAAAGATCATCAGGGACGAGTAGCCAGACGGATAAAGTACTTAGTACTTATGACCTAAAAATCACTCACAGACCCGGTTCCAAACACAGTTAAGCTGACAGTTTGAGTAGATACCCTTGTCGTCAGTATGGATATGAAGAGGTGAAAATTCCCCAGTGCAAAGTCTTCAAGAGAATGATTCCGATTTGAAGAAAGTCAGGGGATCGGTGGAACAGAAATAACGCCCAGAATACGTCCAGATTAAAAATGAAAGAAACGTTTTTGAGTCTCTTTGGTCACAGAATAAATTTCTGGAATTGAAGAATGATTTACTCTGTAGAAAGTGGGAAAGTGATCGGAAGATTATTTACCAGGTATTGATACCTTTATCTGAAAGAAAGATATACTCAGAGAATACCATGATGCTAAAACTTCAGGTGTTGCAAAGACTCTTGCTAGAGTAAGAAAAATGTTTTACTGGCCAGGTTTACAAGCAGACGTCCGAATTAACAGGATGTCCTAAATGCCATAAAAGAAAAGTCCGCTCTTCTGAAAAGGCGCATTGTCCAAACTGGTTATCCAATAGAAGGTGTAGCCAGTGACATAATGGGGCCCCTTCCAGAGGCTGGAGCTAGAAACAAGTATATTATCGTAATATCTTACTACTTTACAAAGTGGACAGAGGCATAATCCTCTGAAAAATATAGAATCACAAACCGCGGCGGAAGTTCTAGTACAACAATTTTTCTGTGGATATGGGGTACCTGAAATTATACACAGTAACCAAGACAGGCAGTATGAGTGTTGGCTTTTTAAAGATATGTGAGATCTACTTAGTATCAGAAAGAATCGAACAAAAGCTTGCCATCCCAATTCAGACGGCAGCAAGATTGAAATCAGAAATAACCATGTCACAGTTGATATTTACTTAAATGTTTTGTTAATAATTTATATTTGGTTAGCGCGCATTGCTAATCAAACATAGCGCTGTTTGAGCGAATGAGTGCCATGTGTGAATGTTTTGTTTTGTCACGTGATGTTTCTATTTTTAGCTTACAATCTGACCAGGTATACGAATACGACCAGTGGACCAATGACTGACCACTATTTGATAATTAATATGCATGTATACTAACTTCGTGCACTACATAAGCGCTTATCCCGCAAAATCAAATAACTATTAGATTTCTACCTTTACGGTGTAAGAAGTCCAACCCTTCATGTTACTTTTGAAGTCATCGACTCATCGATGTCTTGATAACTATGATATTTTATGATTATACTGGATACCTGGTAAGATTTATTTCTAATGATGTAAATACTTCTTATATGAATATCAATAATACGTAAAATATCTTACTGGCAGCGAGGTAAATTTTCATGTTGTGTATTTTGTAACTTTGTTTAATGTGTTGTATTTGTCTCTTGTTAATGTGTGTGTGTTGTGAGTGTGTTTTCTATGTTTTTTAGGTTTCATTTCTTTTGTTATCCTCATTAAACGTCAAAACTGAACCGAATCCAGCGTTTTCTTTACCGATGACCCTGTGACAACCATATGTTCTCATGGCCTACCGATCCTCTCTGCATGAAAGTACGGGGTATACTCCAAATATGATATTGATGGGATGAGACACAGCTACTCAAATTGATATCATGTATGAACTTCCAAACAGATTAATGTACATGTACATAACTGGGTATGGAATCTACGAAAAACCATAGAAGAAACGCATGCAAACAAACGGAAAATCACATAGCAATCATTGTTAGGCCAAAAGAGATACCACGATCAGAATGTGGTGAAAGAGAATTTTGAAGAAGGTGATAAAGTGTTACCCTACATCATTGCAAAACAACATTCTGATGTTACTTTCTAATTAAGAAAAGAAAAAGAAACAAAAACACTTATTGTACATGTTGTTAGGTTGATTCCCTTTTGAGACTCGGGTCCTTAGAAAAGAAAATGAGAATATAGTTTCAAAGGATCAGTGTTTTGTTGTTGAAATTGACAGTGACGAATCTCAGATGGAAATGTTAGGAAATCAGAATTGAATGAAATAGAAGTAGCTTATTCAAGTCGTAGACAAAGAAAAAAGATTGCTTAGCATTCTGAATACGAGTTTGATTACAATTTAATAGTATTTATTTCAGATCGTATGAGAGAATGCTGTTGGCCAAAGTTACACCCACAGATCCTGGATTTTTGTGCTCCATTGGCTTATTCACTTACCAACCAAAGACGAGTGGAGTAAACATCTCCTGAATTGTGGTATGGCAGATATCAACAAGAGAAAATTTGAATGTGATCGCTGATCAAACTTTTAGCAAGATGATTGTGTTAGTACGACATATGAAAAGATTACACCCAAGTCAAGAAACGACTAACAAAAATGAAACATCAATGGTACAATCATGTGAGAAGTCTCCATCGAGACAGGTTGATGAGGAAGAAGATTGACAGGAGGATCCTGGTGAACTCCTTTTTGAAGAATGGAGTTAGAAACTGGGAGGACGCACCGAAAGAAGACGTCTCCGGTTTTACCAGGATTAAGATTGATTGATTGATTGTATATTGTTTTTAAGGTCTCATCCGAAGGACCCGCAACTTTCACTTCAAAGTACCGAGCGCATGGCGAAAGAACAGTTGCTACCCATTTTTTATCGACTTAGTTCAGTCGCGGCCGAAATTCGAACTCACGACCGCCCGATCACGACCACGGATTAAGCGAAGAAATACTAGTGTCTCAGAAACCGTGACCAAAGACTTGCCTACAACTGAAGAGGTGGTGAAACCTAGCTACAGTGTTTCCAATATCGAAAATGCTCCTTTGGATGATCAGCACTATTTTTCCAACGCAAACTTATGCAGCAATAAAGATAAGAGTCATCAGACTACGCGGTGACGGAGTACCCAGTCGCATTAAGTCATTTAAACATAGCACCCCGGTAAAATCTTTGATATTTTAATTGACTCCTAATTATATACAAAATCATTAAACTGAGGAAGAGTTATAGGAAAATTGTTACTGTCTAATCATTTTACTCAGAGCACACAAAATTAGATATCCCTTATAAAGAACCCTCAGGCTGATTAATATACATGTATTTTCAGATAAACACGTTACAATGCAATATAATATAATTCTTGACGAAAGAAAAAAGAGTGATGCTCTTCAGCAACAAAAGCTTTTACCGACTTCTTTTCTTTATGTATCAACATGTAAAGATTTGATCCCTCATCATAGCTTAACTCTCTCCCACTGGATTTAGTATTTAAACAAATTTGAATCTACAGTTATCTTTTCTGACCCTGTGGTTCATTTTAAGAATTTTAAAGGCAGCACAAATTATTTTTTCCTTTTCAAGGGGACACTTCCTTCAAAGGAGCGCTTTTAGTCAGGTTCTTATTTGTCAAATGGTTCTGGAGAAGGAGAAGAGATGGAATTAATATTTCAAATTTATGATGGACGGATGGAGGTACACATGCCAAATAATTTGAAAAACTCTAACTGAAACATTTTCAGTAATAATCAAAAAACATAATCACCAGGTTCAACATCAACTGTGCAGGTGTTGAGTCGGGGATTAAAATACTGAGTAACTGGACATTTCGTTATTTGGGTGGTCCTATTCTTGTAGCAGAAAATGTAATCTTGAAGCCAAATTTTGTTTGGGAAAAAATGTGGACCATCAGACATGCCTTTACAGGTTGGTAGTTGCTCTTGGCACTTCTTTGAGGTAGAATTAAGTGATGGAAAAAGGTTTTGTTGATACTCACCTGAAAAAAATAACCTCATTTTTTCTACAAAGTTGTGAACCTTTGTCAACATACCAGAACAAAAAGTGTTTTGTTAGCAGAAAAAAACTCACAAGGTGCCTTGGGTTCAGGTCTGCCTTGACAGTCTACAGATGTGAATAATTTACATTGTCGGATGTTGGCATCAAACAAATCTGGATATCTACATTCCCTCGTAAATGTCTCGAGTCTTACAATACCAGCTGTCCGGGGTGTGATCAATGTGCTTCTTTTGTTGCAATCAAAGAAATGGGCACAGTTATCTGGATCTGGGAGAATATCAGTCGGATTGGCTGCACAGTAGTCAGGAACATCAACTGAGTAATGGACACAGTATTTATAACTCGATGTAGATCACATTTACATTGTTGATGCGTATATCCTTTTACTTGCTTAACTTTTCTAAATTGCGTTCAGTGTATAGCTTACAAAAACAAGACATAAAAATGCTCCTTAGATGAAATAACGAACTATTCTGCATTAATTTTGTAGATTGACATATGCATTACGAGGCTCGTTCAAGAAGTAATGCAAAGTGCGATCTAAAACTAAGAAAAGCGCAAGAAGCAGTTAATTTTTTAATCCCTCAAGGTATTCACTGTTAACATTAATACGTCTTAGTTTTTTTTAAACAGAACACCTCAACATACTCATCTTTAGGTATGTCCAAAAACCACTGATGAATAGCATTCTCCATGACACACAGAAAATCCGTAAGCGTTCCTTTGATTATTTTCTCTAGTTTAAAAATTTCTCACAATAACTGAGATTTAGGGAATGCAGAGGATGGCTTAGCTTTAAATACAACCCTTTCCTCCAAATTTCGTTTACATTTCCGATTTATTGAAGAAGCTTTGTAAGATATAAGAAAATTAAGCTGGGAACCGGTCATTGGACTTTTCTTACAAGAAAAATGCTGAACTTTTCTCAATAAAATTTTTAACATAAAACTACCATTGATGGTCCTTCCTGGTGTAGTTTCATGTGCTATCGGACCTCTTAACTAATCAAAGAGAAAATCTGTATAAGACAAGTTTTGAGCTTTGTCTTTTCTTTGCAATAATGACAGTTTTCTCTCCGTTTCAACATTTTATTATTAGTAATCAGAAATGACAGAGATCGCCCAAACGAATGTTATCTTTAAGTAAAACAATGTTCCATTCTAAACATATAATAAAGTAGTGTGCATCCCTAAATGCAACATTTATGAAATTTTAATCTGATACAGTTACTTGGGAATAGACTTCTCTAAAAATTAAAAATAGTCACTCATTTAAGAAATGTAAGTTAAACCCTGGAGTCTGAGACAAAGTCATGGACAGAGTCATGATTTTATAAAATTTTTGTTAAAGGCAGAAGTACCTTTGCTTGGTACAAATATGCACTTTATATGTCTTCTAGTGCTTGCTGGTAAGAAAAATGTTTATATATTGCGTATCTTTTTGTTATTTTGCACCACCCCTTGGGCTCCTCTGTAGGGAGTGGGTTTTGAAAGTGATGTTTTGTAGCGCTTTACCCGCAGAAGCTCTATTCTAATTTTTGTTCTCCAATCTTTGTTTTATCTTACCTGGATCAACAATTTCCATGCAAATTTTAGCAATAGGATGAAAATAACCCTTTGAGCATTTCTCTATAGACATTGTTCTATTCTGATAACATATGATGAAGTCTGGGCTCCAGAGCTTATTTGGGAACAGACTTGCACCATTTGCCTTTCCAACACAAGTAGGCAGTCTCTCAGGGCATGGCATGCAATTCAAATCTGATGATTGACAAACATTTTGAAGATATTCACCTGAAAAGACATACATGCAATAGCTGAAGATAAGAAATAGTGAAAAATCTTATAAATCCTATAAACAATACGAAAAGTAAAGAATGCAAACTCAAAGATCCCTGGAATCAGGTACCTAATAGGAGGAAACATCTCCTGTCAACCTGTCACACTCGTTGTGAGCATTCTGTATTGATGAGGATGGAGTAATTCGTAAACAAAAAACCATTAAAACTATGACCTTTACATTTGGTATGACAGATGTCAGTCAAAACACGACTTAAATTACATGTAAGACCAAGTGACAAGTTGTATTTGTAAAAATGGTCATTTTATAGACCATATAATTTACAAAATGCGAACTTTAAACAATTTCGTTGAAATACGTGCATAACAAACTTATTATTAGTAGCCTGTTTTGGTTCAAGAATTGATTGAGCTCAGAACTAGCTCTTACATACAAAGTACGTTGGGAGATATAAACATCATAACCAGGTGATGACTGAATCCCATTAAATAAATGAAAGCTAATGACGGAAAATTTAAAGTCGTCACCTTTGTCATATACATGTAGCTTAGATATTAGTTTGCCATCAAGATTTATAGTCAATAAAACATCCAGTATGTAAAACAGATATTGCAGACTCTGATTTTTTTTTTATTTCGGGTTTACTGGGGAACATCGAGTCGACACATGAATGTAAACAATTATTAATTTTGATAAACAAATATGTTAATAACTTAGACTTAATTTCAAAGTTTTGAAGAAGGTCATTTTTCATTGAAATACAGAGTTTAATCTTTTTCCGAGCTATGAGGCTCTTTTACACGGTTTCTGTAATGCTATGCAAGAGAGAGTCATTGACTCCCATAGCATGCGAAACCAGTCCATCGCAGGTTAATCCTTAGCATAAGATAGTACTCATTGAAGCTTGATGGACTTAGACAATGCAGATAAAGACAACGCATAACAGTAGTGAACACGGCGGGTCTTGAACCTGCGACCTTTTGTTCAATAAGCGGCCAAACAACTTTGATCACTGAGTCATGTTCTTCACTCATATTTTTATTACTTACTAATCAACCAAAAAGTCCTTGAGAAAATGTGTTTTCTAGCACAACGTTTTTTGTTTTAGTTAAGCCTTACCACTTAGCTTTAGGTATTTTTGATCTGAAACTTTTAATGAATAAATACAAAATCCAACTTAAGTTACTAATTTTAGTGTACTAACAATTAAGCATATAAATTAAACTTAATTAATTAAAAATTCATTTTAAAGAAATAGTTTAAAAAGGTTAAAAATGCTCGACACTTCATTTACAAGATATTTAAAGCAATATGTTATAAAACAGAAACATGTAATCTGTTATCATACTAATATACGTACTGCATGTAGCTGTTGATAACATTGGAAATTTTCACTCCAAGGAAACCATTGTCAACCTAGGCACAGCCGAGATGACAATGGTTTTCGAGGGGATGAACATTTTTAATGGTCCCTTCAACTTCATGCAGTATTTTTATATAGTACTGAATGTTTTATAGAAATACAAATAAAGGTTAGGCGCGCGTGCTTAGAATCCACGCAGTTAATATTTTTTGAATATCACCTGTGGTCAAGCAAAGTGGATTTTGTTAAGTTCTATAGCGCAAGTGGGCATGGTTTTATCATGCAGAGGGTAATAGTGTTTATGACGAATTAAATTCAAGTCATTTACAAAAAGGTTATCGAATGTTTAACTTCAGGGGGTCAGTTCTTGCATAATATGATGCCAAAGATTTTCATGTTCTTTAGAAGTTTTTTCTAGTCTCTGATGACCATCTAACTATGTGTATTTTTTTGTTTTGCGTCGTTTACTTGAATAAATGACATTTTTTCACTTTCAGTACTGCTGTTATTTTCTCTTAATCCATCAAAAAATTTAGCTCATTTGACTTGGCTTCGGACTTGTAGGAATAGCAAAGGAACATAAAAGAATAATTTTAAAATATAGGTCTTTACAAGGTGCCTGTGGCTCTGGTCTTTTATCACATGTGACAGATGTAAAATTTCCACATTCTCCTGATGACACATCAAACAATGCAGGGTAAGTACATTCCATTTGAACAACTGCTAGAGAATTCGCCAAGTTTCTGGTTTTGGCTGGTGATGGGAGGGCTGCATTCACGGTACTGCAGTTAAAATAGCGAGCACAACTGTCCAAGGCAGGCAAGAAGTCTGAAGGATGCACAGCACAGAAATCTGGTACATCAACTATAGTCAAAAATTATACAGATAAATTATATTTCTAAATTTTCAGATTTATCATGGATTAAAAAGTGATGACAAAAACAATTTCAATGTTGATTTTCTTCATATCATGAAGAATGGAAGTAGTGTTGGGCCACAATAGATGATCAAAGTTTTACACGAAGGTGAGGATAACGAACTGTGATCGATCTCAAAAACATAAAAACTCGGACCTCTGGAAATTCTAGAAGTCAGATCACGTGCCAGGGAAGAGTAAGTATCCTCTGTTGACCGATCACACCCAGCGTGAGTTCTATGTATTAATCAGGTAGACGGAACATTCCGTTGTCAAATTTAGTAGAAAAACAAAGGACTAACAATTGATATGAAATAAGTTAGCCAATGTACGACTTAATGATAAGTTATGTTTGCTGACAAGTTCATTACAACGATCATAGAATTCACGAAATGCCGACTTAAAACGAGGTTGTTGAAATTCCTGTTAAAATAACTTATCTCTTAGTAGCCTGCTTGGTTTAAAAATTGATCGTACTCGAAGCATGCTCTTGAATATCGAATTAGCTGGGAGATAAAGAAATTTATAGGAAAAAACATTCTCCTCAAACATCATGATCAGCTATACTGAAACATCCTCAGGTAGCGAATTTTCAAATTTGTTCCGATTCACGATCATCAGGGGAAGGATAGGTCTACAATCGGGGATCAAAAATTTAAATAGGAAATATCTTTAAAAGTCTGATGATGAAGAACAGCAAAGTCATAATTAGACATATTAATTCCGAAGCAACCTTAGGTTGCGTATACCGTTATTCAATTTTGTTTAAATCATGTCCCCCGTGGGTAGGGCGGGACTGTAATCTTCTAGAACAATGGTTTGTCAAAGACAAGTATCTTCAATTAGTGCAGATTCAAGTTTCAATCCCCCACCCCACCCCCAGATGTTGGGTCCACTTATTTTTTAATCTTGTAACTAGTAAATTTATTTCTTTTTCCTAGCCAATGTGCTCAGATGAGCGAGATGGTTCATGAAATTTTTGTTTTACCTCTTAACGAATCTGTAAATAGATTTTGAATTTGAGTTCTGAACATTCCCAGCATTGATGGAGGCTAAATACTCATTAAAATAACACAATCCTTGGGTTAACTGTCCAAGAGACACAAAGAGGATTTTGAAATATTGTATGGGTAGATTTGGCCTAAAAACTCATGTCTTATGAGGAATCTGACAAAAAATAAATTTCGTTTCACCATGTATATACATATTTTAAAAGTTAAGGTATATTTCAATATTGGTTGAAACTAGTCCAGTAATTTAAAGGACGCTGAAAATGTTGAAAAAGTAACAAACGATGCAACATGGACAGTGACTGACAAGAAAAGATATTAGCAACTGATTGCCTCAGGTGACATGTAAAATAAATACATTTTTCCCATCAACAAAATTGCTTTAAATTATAAGGATTACAGTCTAGAGGTTATAAAAATTCCAATGCCTTTTGGAATATCCTTCATGCAAGTGCTTAGTCTTGGATTGAAGTACTCTCCTTGAGAACATTGAGTGATGTTCATGGTGCGGTTGGTGTCACACACAATATAATCTGCCTGCCATAGTTTTCCTGGAAAAGTCTGTTTTTTATTTGTCAATCCTTGACAGGTGGGCAACCGTTTGGGACATGGGAAACAGGAGACATTGCTGGCTGCACACTGATTTTGAACATACTCACCTAAAATTAAACACGTACATTCATTAAATCTCAGCAATGTTACCGACACTTTAACATATACACAGAAAGATATAAACTAGGTTTCTATTTTCAATTCTCTTATTATATTGGCTCACATGGTGCTTGAGGCTCTGTTCGATTGTCACATAGCACTGTCTTGAAGTTCTCACATCTCATACTGACGGTAGAAAACAGATCAGGATATTTGCATTCTTGGAGATGTTTTCCGTACTTGGAGTTGTCCACAGAACAGTTGTAATACTGAGCACAATTTTCATTTTTTTGGAAGATGGCTTTTGGATTCTGTTTGCAGATCTCATCAATGTTATCTACAATACATATTACATACAATTGGCAATTTTCCACTTCTACTGTAATACACGCATTAAATATTGTTAAATAATTTGGCTTCAATAATTGATACGGTTAACACTTGCAGGCTACCATAAAACTTACTTGGACTTGCTTTCTCTAGACATTTTTTTTGAATTGGGTCAAAAAAGCGAGAAGAACATTTCTCTATATTCATAGTCCTGTTTTTATAGCAGATGACATAATCAGGTTTCCATAACAACCAATCGATAGGGTTCTTCCCATCAGGCAATGTCACGCAAGATGGAAGCCTCTTTTTGCAATGAATACAACTCTTGTTCATTGCTGCACAAAGGTTCTGCTGGTAATCACCTTATACAATTAAAAAAACCCATTAAGAACAGAATGTCGTAAATGAGCATGAAGTGGTCTTTATATTGATTATCTTAAAATGATAATATACTGATTTCATCCCTTACATGGTGCCTGAGGTTCCATGCGTCTATCACAAGTCACATTCTCAAACCACTGGCATGACAAATATGTTAAAGAAAACAGATCTGGATAGAGACATTCCATTGTGTGATTCCCATCAAGTCCTGAATCAGAACAGTTGATATACTGCCCGCAGTTGTCTTTCTTTGGAAGTAAAGCTTTGGGGTTGGCTGAGCAATAATCTGGTATATCCACTAAAATAAAAAAAACAACTTTTAGTCTCAAAGTCATACAGCAATGCACGGTGATAGAAGAAATGAGTCTCATTCCTGACTACATTCTTGGAGAAAAAGATATATTTGGTATTCTTTATATATCAAACATCAAACAGTTCATCAAATACAATGTACATAAATGTAACTTACTCCAAACCATATAATACTTCAATAATGTGGATAGGAATTAAACTTATTTTTTTTTAACATGCATTCTTTTTAGTTTCTAATTAGTATCTTTCTATTATTATTCACCTCTTAGTAGTAAAAAAGAGGATATTGATTGTTTTGTTGTAGGATTTGGAATTTATTTTACGAGTGGACAGGATTTTTTATTTTCACGACTGCGAAGCACGAGTAGAATATTCAATGAATCCTGTCTCACGAATGAAATAAATTCCTTATCCAACAAGACATTGAATTTTCTGTTTATTACATTTTCTTTGATTTCCGTGTTATGGGCTGTTACGTCATAGTTTAGCGTTTGAGACGTCATAGTTTAGCAATTGTGAGATTGAAAACATTGTAACATGGATTTTAGCAATATATCTGGGAGGAAATTTACAGTTTAAGTCTCTATCAAGATGGTTTAGTTACTATATCTATCATATAACAGGCCATAAATCAGTTTTACTCACTTTGATATCCTTTCACATTGTGACAGAATATCATTTTGGTATTTTTTCACGCTTTGAAAGAATATCACTTATTCAATGATTAAATCACAGTATTTCACTATTCAAAATGTAATGATATACACTGTGTCTTCAGAGTTGTTTAAAAAAAACAAACACTGTACATTATGTACTCCAATGATATCGATAGGTATTGAATTTAACCTTTCCATTTATTTCTTTTCAAATGCATTTTTTTTCAGTATTTCACTATTCAAAATGTTATGATATACATTGTGTCTTCAAAGTTGTTTATAAAAAAACGCTGTACATAACTTGCTCTTATACATGTACTTCAATGATATGGATAGGGATTGAATTTAACTTTAGTTCCATTTATTTCTTTTTAAGTGCATTTTTTTCAGTTTAATAATTTTAAACTAAATACTAGCATAAGACAGTAATGCCCGCACTGAGGTGTTTGACTCTAAATGCACTCGCCTTCATATTTAGGTAATCAGGGAAGACGCCGAAATAATTACTGAAATTACAGAACTTAATGGACATTCTGTTTCAAAGAGAATTTATGGAAAGGGATTTCTATTTTGAAAAAAAAAAAAAATAAAAAGAGGGGAGGGTTAAATTTTTGGACCATATTAGAACTGAATATTGTTAAAACAAAAAACTTTTTTATTTTATTGCATATCATTTTTTATTGAACTTAAAAAAAATTCAGATGCCAAAATGACGGAAATGATTGAATTGTGCAAACTTTATCAGTATTTAGATAGGAAAAAACTTTTCCAAACCCACATCCAATCAACTTTGTCAAAATCAACCCCCACCCAGAATCCATCGGTTTTCCTGCCATATTTGGAAAAGATGACACAAAGTTTGGTAAAATAAAAACACTGTGTGTAATTATAAATTTTATACGTGTACATCTTTTTGGACTCGCGCCTGGCGTTGGACTTCATTTGTCACCCTACAAGTACTAGTTTTACCGTTATCATTATAGGGTTGCATAAGGTGTACACATCATTATATCAGTAGAAATTAATTCATTTTGCATTTTAAATGGAATATTTAATGAAGTTAACCGTACCTATACTGGTAGTAAGTTAACTATAATTATGGTGTGTCGTGCCATTTAACTGTTTAAAGTTTAGGCATAGAACAGGGTAAAATAATCTGAAATGCCAATGGTTAGGCCTATAGTTTGAAAAAGGTCAAAGATCATTAGATGTCACTTGCAAGTTATACATTGAAGCAAGTCCTTGGGGTTATTCCCACTCCCTGGAACTGGAAACAAATAGCTTTAATTATATCGTATCAAACGAACATCAACATTACAAATTATGTGCAAGAATATACTAGGTCAACAAAACGTATTTAAATACATTTCCTTATGATATATATATATATATATATATATATATATATATATATATATATATATATATATATATATATATATATATATATATATATATATACTATATTTTATTAATACTATGTGTTATGCTTAATTCATCTGGATCTGTGCGTGTCTGTGTGTGCTTGTGTGTGTGTGTGTTTCTGTATGTGTGTCTGTGTGTGTTTACCCGCATTGTAATATATATATATATATTCACTCAGTCCATTGTATTTTGTAACTTTGATTCTTGTATAGAGAGGGTATTAATAGGCATTGCCTGTTACCCAATCGATTCATTATTTTGAATAAATATTGTTTAAACCAAATAGCTTTAATTAAAATGGAACGCCCAAAAGCCATCTTTGTATTGGACTTTTGCGAGAAGTACTGACATTTACATAGTGAACACTATAGTAAATCAAAGGTTTCATAGTGACAAAGCTTTCACTTAAGTTAATCAAAGTTTTCATAGTAATCACTATAGAGTCATGTTTATCACTATAGTAAATCAAAGTATTTAAGTTAACAACAATATGGTAGATCAAAGCTTAAAAGTTAACAACACCATGGTAAATCAAGATTTTAGACACGATAACTAAAGAAAAATTTATTTTCTTACTACAGCATATAATTTATTTAATGTATGTTATTTAATTTCACAACATGATTTTTATCCTGTTTAATAGATTAACTCAATTTACGAATGATACCTGTTGATTTCTTCTATTTTCAATAATTCCCTTAACATGAACTTTGCATACAATTCACTTTTTCAGATTTTGTCTTACTTTTAAACTTTTGAAAAACTTCAAGTTTTCAAATTTCTACTAGATAAAATTTCTTAAATGAACGTTGTTTGTCTTTCATTCTATTGGTCTATTTTAACATCAGTTTATAACATCATCTAATGTTATAAAGTATATCAAACAAGACAGATATAGTTACCATATTTATAAACATCGACATCAAAAATATATATGAGTGATTGAATGATTATTTTTTAACGCCGAGTCGGCAATATTATCATATTTCTATATATTTGATTGATAACTTTAACAAATCAAAGTTTTCATAGTGATCACTATAGTGTTTTTAAAGTTTTCATAGTGTAAAAAGTATCCTTATAGTAAATAAAAGTTTTCATGGTTTTCACTATAGCAGATCAAGGTTTTATAGTTATCACTATAGTAAATCAAAGTGTCAAAGTTATCACTATAGTTAACTATGGTTTTCATAGTGTCAAAGTTATCACTATAGTTAACAATAGTAAACTATCGTTAATTATAGCATTTTTGTTAGGTTCGGAGCAGGGATATAAAAATACGGGAACTTCTAAAGAAAACACATACTATGTCAATCAGAAATGTCATATTGACAAATTAGTTAAGGAACTTTTGGAAAATGTGAAAACACAAAATTTTGTCAAAATCAAGAACATCAAAACCTACGACCTTTCAGCTCTATATCTATACATTCCACATAATAAATCAAAACCCAGGATTTTAACATCATTGACATTTTTTTTTTCGTCAATAAAAATGGAACTCGTAAACTTCATTACTTACCTTGTCATTGATCATTTACAAAATTAATTTGTTAAAAACATTCTGATTGTACACATGAGTATTCTGGGTTTGATATTATGAAGCTTGAGTTTCTAATTGACAATATCTTTATCAAGTATTCTGGGCTTGATATTAAAATGAAAAGTTTCTGATTGACAATTTCTTTTTGATTTTTGGAGACTAAGTCTTCCAACAATCTGTTAAATTCCCATGGATACCAACTGCGTCCTGTTATCAACAGACCTATTTTGTATTTATATGAAGCAGAATTTATACAAAATCTTACACATGAAAAGAAAACATCGACGACGTATTATCAATTAATCATAGTTAATCATAGTAACTTCCATTCATATGTCGATATGATATATCCCAGTGAGCTTGATATAAAAAATTCCACATAGTCTGACACATCTGTTTTATATTTGGATATTTTATTAGAAAAAGACGTTAATGGTAGCCTTACAACAAAGCATTTTTCTTACTATATGTAATTGTTTTGCCATTAATTACACACTGAATTCCTGACATTTTTCTTACTACATGTAATTGTTTGGCCATTATTTACACACTGAATTCTCACGTATCTTTCCGTTTGCCCGATCATGACAAGGAGCACACGGCGGGTGTGACTGATCATCAGGGGATGCTTAATCCTCCATTATACCTGATTCCAACCCTGATTTTTTTTTTAGAGGTCCGTGTTTGCTCTGCTCTCGATTTGTGTATTATCTATTGACTTTCAAGCTTGATTACTGTTCATTTTCTCCATATTTTATTTAGACCTTATATTATTGTTTTCATTCTGTTTCCTATTATTAAGGTCTTCCGTCTTCACGGAAGACCACCTTATAGTGATTCTACTGTTTCTTATTATCATTTTCCCCAAAATTTTGTGCAGGCGATTTCTCGAAAAGTATTCAGTGGTTTTAAATGAAACTTTCAGGAATTATGCGCCATCAAAAGGACTTTGCTCATCAGAAGGAATATTTGGAAAACTCACTTTAGGTTCCAAATTATTGACAGTTTTCTGATTTTAAGATAAAATTTTGCCCCCCCCCTTTTTTTTCAAGAATGGCTGAGGATATGAACTGGAAATTTGTTAGAGATGATAGATTTTGAATTCTGGATGAGGGGAATCACCTTTTCGTGCTTCGTTAGTACTTCCGGTTGCTACTGGAGGCAAATTGAAAAAATCGAATTTTTCAGCTTTTTTGTTTTTCAATATCTTTTTTTGTAATATTTAAAGGGTTAATAGATACTCCTTGAAAATTGCTTAATATACAGTTTGTTTGAAAATTGATTGATCTGATCTCGAGATATTCGTCTGTTTCCAACACTGGATTGAAACGCTTTTTAAAAGTAGAATTTCAATCCAATGTT